AGAAATAGCTATAACAACATGGAGACAAGCAAAACATAGAGTTTTAGAAAGACAGTATAACCACAGCTAAAACACACAGAGTGGGTGATACTTCATGTTAAATGTTTGCGCATGGTGGAGCAAGCAAAGATAACAAAGGGTATAAAGTTCATCCCTTTTATTCCCTAATTTAACGTACTGCTTTCTTTTCCCTATTAGCTTTCTTGTACAGCCTAAAATTAGATGGCAAAAGATGCCAGAAGGAACTACATGACTGGAGAATTAGCTCATTTTAGCTAGGGATGCCCACATACTGGGCAAAATTGTTACAAAATATAAATGTTTACAAAGATGTGATGCAACATTCTTCCCACGAAGGGAACACAAACAGCTGAATAGACTTCAATACACCAACATCTCAAGAGATTCAGTGAATTAGAAAGTTCTGACCAGTGTTTTTGCAGCCAGACTGATTAGGCATGGATTAAAAAAGATAACCTGTTCCTGCATCACACAACTCATAGACAGTTAAGGATTGATCACTGAACACGCAAGGAATAGAGGATGTGAATGGAGGTCTGAGGGAGTGCCTGATGTCTCAGTTCTGGATTTTGCAATGCCTCACTCTGTGGCTAATGGAACCACCCTTTCATGCTGAGTCAACTGTCTAGAAATATATACCGATTCTCATATTAAACATTGCATCAGAAGCCTCCTGTTCACTTTCTTACTCTTAAGTGAATGATAAGTCTACCCCTTGTTTGTGCGTATTCCTTATATACCTGTCCTATGGCAAGGGCCCCTGTGGAATACTACTAGACTTTTATTGTCCACACTTTTTAATTTTTAAACTAATGTACTTCAATTCTCCAGTGTCCACAGTATGGCCACAAATATGCACTATAGAGTGTGCATTTTGATTATAACAATGATTGCATTACTGTCCATGCCATTATGTCCATCATGTCCACCAAATCATAGACGTGCTCCCATTGTCCATATTAATGGTGCTGGTGACCCACAACAGGAACTAAAAACAAAATTCCAATTTTTTGGTTTAAACTCATGCAGTCGCCAAGGAAGTCCAGGGTTTGGCTCGAAAGCTTGTCTCTGCGTACTATTGAAAGGCATTGGTGAATGGGGGCTGAACACCAACATCTCATTCTCTAGAATACTTTTTATTGAACTGTCAAATGTAAAGCTGGTAACATGATGTCCTTGGCTGGAGGTCACCCCTTAATGCGCATCACCGATAGCAACTCAATCACAATAACGCAACTGGTGTCTTACAACAGGAATTAAAAACAAAATTCCAATTTTTAGCTTAAACTTCTCAAGTATGCAACTCCACTCCAGATCTGCTCTTCATGCAATCGCCAACGACGCCCTGGTGGCTGGCTCAAAAGCTCGTCTCTGCTTACCACTGAAAGTCATTGATGAATGGGGCTGCACACCAACATTTCATTCTCCGGGATTCTTTTTTTATGAACCATTAAATGTCCTACTGGCAAATTGTTGTTCCCCTCCAGATGTCATCCCGTTTCACCAATAATGACTTGATCACGGTTGTCTACAATAATGGTGCGATGTCCTACAACACGACTTAAATGCAAATTTCCAATTTTTAGTTTGAACTTCTCAAACAAGCAACACCATTCTAGATCTGCGCCTCATGCATTGGTTAAGGATGTCCTGGGGGCTGGCTGAAAAGTCTCTGCATACTATTAAAAGTCATTGATGAATGGAGCGCCACACACCAACAACTAATTCTCCGGAATACTGTTTATTGAACTGTCAAATGCACAGCTGGTAACATGATGTCCCCGTCTGGAGGTCACCCCTTCTTTACGCATTTCACCAATAACGGCTTGATTGCAATTGTCCACAATAAAGGCGCCGGTGTCCTACAACAGAAATTAAAACCACTACTCCAATTTTGTTTCAGTACTTGTATCTGTCTTCTGCTGCCATCCATCATTGCTAATTTCCTCCAAGGATCCAATCCCTCTTGCATTGAACTGTATTGTTGCTGTATTGTCTCCTGTTATATTGTAAAGGGCTGAGCAAACTGTTGGCGCTATATAAATCCTGTATAATAAAAAAATAATATTAATTTCCTGTACCAATCTCTATGGAAGAAAGGTATTAGCCTAGGAGGAGTCATCCCTGTTGGTTATCCTAACCATGGCTTACAAAGCAATTAATACAGATATCTCAAGAGGTTATATGTATGAATAGGCATACACTGATTTTTTTTTAGAAATATTCATTTATTAATGTTAGAAAGTTGCTATTGTGAAATACTGGGGAGTTTATGTTTGCTAAATTACAGAGAACAGTAAGCCATTCCATGGGAAGAAGATATAATTGTGGTTAAATAGCAGGATGTGAGACAGTTCGTGTGGGATAAGTAGCCATTAAAATGTTATTTTTTGTAATTTATAAACATTACAAATTTGTTATTTTGGCTATAATTCTACACAATTTGCTTGCATCACAGTTAATGTTACACTGCGAAGAAGAGCATTTTTTTTTTTCTTGTTCCATCAAAACTTGACATGAGTAGATATGGTGTACGTGTCATGTCTCATAATTACGAATTGGATCAGGTAGTAGCCTTGCTATCTGAGTGCAGAATGTTCAAACATACATATAGGAGCAGGACACAGCAGCTGACTTTTCATTCTTGGGGGTCTCTCAGGATTTCAGTGTCTCCCAGGACTGCCACAAGCATCCTTACAGCTCTGCAGTCACAGGCAGCAAGCTATGCTGAATAAAGTTTTTTTTAATACTGCCAAGGCTAATAAAATGTGAGGATCAGCACCATCTAACACATGCTTTCTTATCCAGGGCTCTGTAGAACCCTAGGGTTTCTTCAGAGGTTGCTAGACATTCCTTAAGCAGTGGCAGAGTAATTTTTCACCTATATCTACCACCAATATTAGGGGCAGAATTTTCCACTGACATCCAGTGTAAAAGTTCACTTCTACACTGACCATCGATGTAAGGGGACACTTTCTCACTGATCCTCAATTTAAGTATTCTCCACTGTCCAGCAAAGGGCGTTTCTACCAATCACCAATGTGACAGGGCATTTCTCCATTGTCCACCAATGTAAGGGGCTTTTCCTCTACTGACCACCAATTTAAAAGGCATTTCTCTACTGACCACAAATAGAAAGGGACATTTCTATACTGACATTGTTGTTTCTTTTCTGTTTATTAATATTATTCATTACATTTCATGATTATTTCTAAAGATAATTTTATCCTATGGAGTAGAAGGGTGTCAAATGATCTGCTGTGGGAGTCAAATACATTACATATGCCACATTGTTCATTGACTTCTTTAAAACTTTCTGCAATGTACTGATCATGCTATTGTACACTGAGCTGCAGAAATAATTTTCTGAAAGGGTTCCTCGGGAGAAACCTAAATATTACTTCACGGGTTCTTCAGGACAAAATATTAAGAAAGGCTGGTCTAGATTGTGCTGGTGCTCGGAATATTGCTGTGTTATTTAATAATGCAGTGGATGTGCATTGAATTGATTATAACTGCTCTTAAATCCCGAGTTTTCCAATTAGTTACTAGCTTTTCTATGCCTATGGCAAAATCCTGATGAGTATCCACAGTGTAGTTTAGTGCATGAGTTGAATACATCCAAATTATATAGGTTATTTTTTTAAAGTGCTTACGGTATATAGCACCGTCAATTCACACAGCACTTTAAATATACTGTATATCGTACATTCACATCAGTCCCTGCCCTCAAGGAGCTTACAGTCTAAGGTACCTAAACTCACATACTAGGACCAATTTACCTAGCAGCATATCTTTGGAGGAAACCCAAGGAGGCACAGGAGTTGGATGCAAACTCCAGGCAGATAGTGCCATGGCTGGGATTTAAACTGATGACCCTAGTGCTGCTAAGCAGAGGTGCTAACCACTTAGCTACCATGTTGCCCAGGTTATAACTAAGAACATCCACACACACTTACTGGAAACTTGAATAGTGTACTTCAGTACATTATATCTAAGTGCAGGTACTTTGTACTTGAAAAGAAAAAAAAAAGGAACACTATTCACTGACTAAAGTACACGATTTAAATGCAAATAGCATCAATAGCAACACATCAGAATCAATCTTCTCTAGCCTGAGATTGTACTTTGAGGTCCAAGTTCATCCTGTAGTATTTCTACCTATTTTTCTAGTCTTCAGTACCCACTTATGTTTATGATGTTAATTTGTAGCTTTTAGGGACTTTTAACTCCCTCCCACCTTTTTATATTTTACCGGTAGGGATAGAGAGTCAGTATAAAGAAGAACTCTATGTGTACAGCACAAACAGGCTTCTAAAACATCATAACCTCACCATACCTTTCAAAAATGCTGCTCCCTGAAACTGTAATTCTTAAAGGGATTGTAAACCCTTACATATACCTAGTGAAGTGACTGGCCTCATGGGATATACATGGAGGTAAACAAATCCTCCTACAAAAGTTGTAACTGTTTATCTGTAGTTTTCTCTACTCTACATCCATTCGAAGCGCTGAATTTATCAAGCTTTTCTGAGAGTTCAGAAGACGGGGCGGAGAGCTGCAATTATACTCTGCAGAGCTCAGTGAGGAGAATTCTGAGAGCTGATTGGAGGGAAGAGACACACCCCCTCCACACAGCGCACAGGAACAGAGCTGAGGCTGTCAATCTGCTGGAGGTCCCTCCCCTGTCACCATTTTTCTTTTGGTATCAGGAAAACTTGTCAGAAATGATTCATGCTGATAACATAGAACTGAATACACATACACACTTAATAAACATAGAGGATCTGAAGACCATTTTTCAAGTTAGTATCAGAATCAGACAAACATTTGGATGAATGATCATATATTGAATTAGGTCAGATGCCATTTTAAAATAAATTATGCAGATCTGATGTAGGAACACAAGGCATTTGTTTTATTTTTAGAGGAAATAAAATAGATTGATATTTAAACTCTCTCTCTCTATCATCCGACAGGGCACGGGCAGTGTAACTGCGGTGATTGTATCTGTGAATCCGACTGGTCTGGCGATAACTGTAACTGCACCACGCGCACAGACACCTGTATGTCCAGCAGTGGGCTCTTGTGCAGTGGTAGGGGGGGGAGTGCATCTGTGGCAAGTGTGACTGCACCCAGCCAGGCTCCTACGGGGACACCTGTGAAAAATGTCCCACCTGTCCTGATGCCTGCACCTTTAAGAAGTGAGTGACAAAGACATGCATCTCCATAGATCACTGTAAATATGGGGGGATAACTTCTTATAACCTCCACATATAACACGCAATATTCTAAGTGCAGCCTTGAAAATAAAGTGAGGAGAAATTTGATTGAGTTTTTTTCTGCCATTTTTATACTTGGTACCCACCAAGCTTACTTTAAAGTTCAGCCTACCCAACACCTAAAGACAAAAACAAATACAATGAGGGGAATTTACTAAGACTGGAATTTACTAGGACTGGCAGCCAGAATGTAGCAGATGTACATGACAACTAACCAGCTTCAAACTTTATTTTCAAAGCTTAATTGAACAAGCTGAAGTTTGAAGCTGATTTGGTTATTATGCACAGCTGCTTCAGATTAAAAGTTATTCATTTATACAAAATAGAGTGAATCTGGAAGCTGCATTATGACCACTAATTAGAGCTGAGGATCATAGGAAATAAATACTTTACACATAAACACTTTTACTATGATCGCAAACTCTAGTGGCCATAATACAGTATTTTCCTGATTCACACTATTCTGTATGAAGAATAACATTTGACCTGGGGAAGACAATAGCCTGGAAATAGTCAATGTTGCCCCCAGTTACACAGAATGAATGTATATATAGTTTTGCAGGACAAATAGCGCTTTTATTTACCTATTGTTTTCCCTATCCTATTTCAAGGGGCTGTGTAGAGTGCAAAAAGTTTGAGCGTGGCCCTTGGAAAAATGAATCCATGTGCAAGAGAATTTGCCGAGATGAGATTGTACATGTACAGGAACTTGGTGAGTATCCAATGTGATACTAGACAAGAACTATAGATTTGTTTTAGTTTTCAGCTCTGGCAGTAAAAAAAGTACTAAAGTATACCCTACACCATACACGAGAAGTCACTTCACAAGTGAAGAAATTGGAAAATGCAATGATCACACTCTGATGAGGGAATTCTTTTGGATCTTTCATTAAACTTTATGCAGCGTAAGCCATAGCAGTCAGCAAGTCAGACAAGTACTTCATGCTTCATCAGTTTTAATATAGGATTGAGGGGGCTTTAGCTATCGTTTGATTACTGCATTGTCTACAAAAGCAGACCTTGTAACATATATCCCTTCAGCTTCTGAACATCCAACTATCTTTGAAAAAAAGGCCCTAACATTTTAACACTCCCCCACCCCAGGAGGAGGGGAAAGGGGTTAAAATGTTAGGTTCCTTTTAAGGGACCCTTGATCTGTCCCTTAACACTTAAACACCCACCCTATGTTAATCTAACCCTAAAAATGTGCCCTTAACCCTTTGAGGACCAAGGGACGTATTTGTCCAATGTTTTTAATTGCGTGTATCATCTGATTAAAAACTTAAAACTCTTTTCTTTTTTTTTTTGGTTTGAGTCAAAATATTAGTTTTTATCAACAAACAACAAATGGATCTAGCTTTTTGCCAATTATTTCATGAAATGGCTTAGTTACAGCAACTGAAGTGTACAAACTTTAAAAACAAAAAAATTGATTCTTTTGGCGGTCCAAAATCTTACGGTCCTCAAAGAGTTAACTGCCAATCTGCCCCAAACACTTAACCCTAACCCCTAAACTTAGTTCTATTACTAATTAAATCTTCCTCTATTCTATTGCATGCACACCTCATCTTTGGCTGATAGCATAAAGCCCTGCAATGGAAATATGAACTGTTGATATCCCGGCACCATAATAACCAGTGAAATTTTTCCTTTTTCTTTAATGTTGATTTTCTTTCCATATTATTTATGTTATAATTTGTATCTCATACACTGAATTTCCTTCTCAGTTGACAATGGGGAGGATGCGGTGAACTGCACTTATAAGGATGAGAATGACTGCGTGGTCAGGTTCCAGTACCACGAGGACTCCAGTGGGAAGTCTGTGTTGTATGTCATCAGTGAAGAAGGTAATCCCGCAGACAGTTGACAGCTGTTTTATATTACACTGCCATATTTACAAAAAAAAACAGCCTTGTCTGGGATGTATGGTTTGGTTTTTTCTCTAAGGTAAGTTGGAAATTACAAGCAATCAAAAGTGCTGTGACAGCCGCAGCAGACTAGCCTTGTCCAATTAGAGAATGTCTTGTAATCAGTTAAAAAAATACAGGGCTTTCTCTGAATGGTGGCCCAATAATATGCAGTAGGTCAGCTGCTCAGCACTGGATCTGGAAGACTGCTACTATTAATGTAGTTTCAGCAACTACCATAGTGATGTGCAGCTTACACAGGGATTGGTCAAGTATGAAATATGTCATATGGAAAACCTGAGATCACCAGCCAGATGCTTGTTAAAGTTACAGTCTTCATTTGACATTCAAAATAAGCAAAAAAAGAGCAGATTTCTTCAGCAGAAATAAAGCAAATAGTCTATAATCTTGGTATAATCAAAACAACATAATGGCTCACTGCCAGTGCACCAGTCTCACACTGGGGTTTAGGGTTTCAGTCCGCTTTGGGGTATCAGAAAAGTCACTGGAGCTCAGCTGTGAACCACTTTACATTACTTCATAGGCACTTGCTGACTCCTTCCAGCTGCTTTTCAAGCCTTCTTTGCAGGTGGGTTAACCCTTTCTGGACCACAGTCCCTGTATTCAGGGTTTGGAGGCACTTACCCACACTAGGTTTTTCCGAGCCTCCGAATTCCAGGTCCTAAATGAGAACTTACCAATCCAGAAAGTACTGAAATCAGTCCTCTCCTCTGACTGGACTACCTGGGAACCCCTTACCCTGCATGGGTAAGAACCCCTGAGCACTAAAAATGTCCCTTGAGCTCACCCTTAAAGGGACCATATATAGGGGAAATATATTTCCTATCCAGGACCCACCCCTATTGTCCTGGATAATACTTACAGTACACGTAACTATGCTATAAAAATCATACTTAAACTTCAGCTTTACATCAAGACTGGCCAAAATGGGCAACACCTCCACATTCCTTCCTTCCACTTATGACATACATTGTATGTTTTCATGGTAACTGGGATTTTTGCTGCTGTACACAGAAAAGCTAACCTCATCTTGGATGTTTAGAATAACTGTGCTATTCATGGCATGCCTCCAACAAAACATATTAAGTACAGCCAAAGTATACAGTCTACTTTGTTAAGATCCACCTGGTAAATGTTTCTAACAGAGAAAGTGTTACATTCAAAGTATTTGTCTGACATTGATCAGTAATTATGAACATACAGTATACCATCCACACTAACTTTTAGTAACATGTCCCAGAAACCAGGAGGTACGTGATAAATATACAAACTTTACAAGAATTCTTCCAGCCCCCTCTAACAAGCTGTTGTATATTTCCTCATCAGTGCCTCATTCTTAACTCTTGTGTACCAAGCACTGTCAGCCTCTGAAAAGCTACTTGGAATCTAAGCCTTGCCATTTACTTATGTACTTACATATGGTAGTAAAGCCACAGCTATGAACCAGTCTTAGAATTCTTCTTATCAATTATAAGATTTACTCCCTTTATTTTGCTATGTGCTTACCAATGTGTGTGGTTTTTTTTTGGTCGAGGCTTGAGAGAAATTGCATCTAAATTCCTGTATGGTGTCAGCATGAGCACCTTCAACAGTTCTCTAACGAACCATTCAACGTAGCGATATGGTGTGAGTGAAGTGCAAAGTAATTAGTTTTTAGTAGATGCCACAGAGTTTACCAACCTGACAGTTTGTTATATCTCTTAAGACCTTTATTGATGAGCTGTAGAAACTTGAGTTCCTGGGGCTGTACATCTGCTGTGGTCATTTGGGAGGCTCCCACTATACCTGTAGAATTTATTATTTCATATTGTGAAGAATGCAAAAGAAGGTGATGAAATGCAGGAACACCTAAATTCCCAGCTGGACAGCTACTGTATACAATCTATAACAAAAGTAAATGAACTAAACAGACAGTTTAAAGTGACCCCGTCTATTTGAAGGAAGCTTTGTAGACTGCAGGCAAAGCTTTCTTTTGTTTTAGATAAATGGAGTAAGGATCTCTAGCAGGTTTTATTGCTATTTATGGCCCCAGAGACAAAGATATAGCAAATCATGGGGAATGCTGTAGGGCCCAAAAGAAAAAGGACCTCAAACTGTCTGGCTAGTGATTTAGCAACAGCAAAATAAAAGGGCCTCTAAATGTTTTTTTCTTGTGGGACCACATTGTACATAACTAAAGTGGAATTCAAGTTAAAAACTTTTGTGGGTTTTGGATAGAATGGAGAAAGCCTAGAACCTTCCTTACATGCTTGTTGCTGTCTGTGTTCACACTAGGGGGGTTTCATATCACATCCTGTCCTAGTCCCCGTGACTACACATTGGGGGGAATTTCCCTGATAAGGATACTGCTTTAAAAAAAAGAAAAGGTTTCATCCAATGTTTCCAATACCGATAAGTTGTGGCATTTCAATTCACTTAGGGAACACTGGCCTACTTGTAAGCAACTTAAGCTTTTCCTTGGTATTTATCTTCTGAAGGTGACTATCATGCTTATGAAATCCTGATAGCTGTTTGTGTCCTTATTTATTGTGTGGCCCTGGATTTCAGTCTACATTATGCATCTGGTTTTCTATATTTTGAGTGCTGTTCAGAGTATTAGAGGCCACACAAATCATTTAGCTGCTGGTACAAGTCAAGGAAAGGTTTGTAGGCAATTATAATAAAAGGCATAGCAAGCAATATTTATAGGTTGCCTGTACTATCTCTACTTGACATTGCTTCTCCCTTATTCTATACAGAATGCCCTCAGGGTCCTGACATCCTTGTGGTTTTAATGTCTGTAATGGGAGCCATCTTACTAGTGGGCTTGGTAGCATTGCTTATTTGGAAGTTGCTCATCACCATCCATGACAGACGTGAGTTTGCCAAATTCGAAGAGGAGCGAGCGAAAGCTAAGTGGGACACGGTAAGTAAAGCAATGTTTTGCAACTTTCATTGGTATATTCCTGTAGCGAGGAGAATAGTTTTCCTCTCTTCTCACAGAGCCGGTAATTTAAAACACACATCTAGCTTAGGAGTATCTAGCTTAGGAGTAAACATAATGCAGTGAAGAAGCAGCTGTGGTAAACATTGTACTTGGTTCTTCAAGCTATTAAGGCTTTAGATGGCATTTTCCAATCCTACAAGTGGTTTAGAAATTCTATATTGTGCACATCTGTACATTAAAATGTGTCTGTACTTTGCCCATGCAGGGTAAAACAACAGGGTTACTTAATTGCTTCCCATACCATCAGCCTATATTGTACTTACCTTCAATTCCCTGCTGCTTCATTTACCTGACCACAGTGAAAATATATACCAGGCACTTTGCCAAGCAACAACTTACCCAGGGTTTTTTCTTCTTTGTACTCTGTTGGGGAAATGGGAACCATGGGAGAGTGAAAGAGACATGAACACAGGGGGTAAAAAAACAAGTGAACTTGTTGCCTTACCATGCATAAGTGACAACATGTTCACTCTATGGAAAGCTATAAGGTCCGCACAAGGGACCATAAGGAGCAAATAATACAAAACAATTCTAGTTTTCTGGAGACGGTGATTCTGAACCAAGAAACCGTATACAGAGGCACAGATCCTGGCTGCTGGATTTCACGCCTAGAGGAATTTGTACAATAAAGACATTGCTATAAAGCCCAGCCATGTATTAGCACTTAAGATCATTTTACCTCCTTTGGCCAAATTTTAGTTGTACTATTCCATTTGTTAAAAGGGGGATGCTTGCAATAAATGCCTGGAGGGCAGGCCAGGCTTTCTCATATTCTTATTGCATATTAAATGTCAGACCTCGTGTTAGCAATCATCACGAGGTTATAAAACATATGTCAGAGGTAATATCCACTAATAGCTTACACACTGGACATGTTTGGCATCCAACCCTAAAGCAACACTAAGTTTGATTCTCTGTGTCAGTGGGCACATGTAAGAATGTTTGTGAAATCCTATCCTAAGGCTCCCATATGCTTCCATTCCAGACTGCTAATCCCATTATTTCCATTGCTATGCCTTCTTATAGCACTGCTCATTTTAACCACAAATGAAACATTCCCACACCTGTACAGGAATTCAGATATATGACACATTTTTACCTTGTTCTACCGTCTCTTGTTCTTTGTGGGCTGCCATTGTATGTAAAAGGAGGCATCCACCGTGGTTAGTTCTCTCTTAAAGTACAGCTGTATCTTTGCATGCAATGACCTAGTATGGGTTCCCCCACTCCCACTTAGATATTATTCTGTAAATCAAGGTAAGCACTGTCCCTCTTTACACTGCCCAGCTTTCCGCTGTGGTGGGTGGTGTTTTACATTCAAGTTTTGCCCAACAGCTTGTCTGTCCTTTAAGACACAGGAGCAAACTACATGTTCCATAGAGAAGAATGGTAGAGAGGAGTCAGGCTCTTCCATTAATGTCTATACAGCATATAGTCATGCCTGCCAAGCAGCTTAGAGGGGGCTATACTGCATCAGAGGTCTGATTTATGATATAACAAGTAAGGGAGGGACCCAAACTGGGTTTCTTTACACAAAGGTACAACTGGGCAGGACATCAGTAGTGTTGCAAAAAAAAAAAAATGCACATATACAATATATTAATGCTGGGCCAGCAACCCGTAGATCGTGATTTACCAGTAGATCGCGCGGCCAGGTGACTGGTAGATCGGTCTGGGCTTGCTGACCCGCCATCCCAGAGCATTAAACAGAGTGCAGTGCAGAGGGACTACTTGTAAACTTGGAGCTGTAGTAGGTAGCAAGAGCAGCATAAGCCGAGGTCTCCTCTGTAGTGCTGACTCCTGTCCCAGGCGGAGTGATACCAAAAGCACTGCTGCTGTGGCATGTTTGCAACTTCGGCTGCTGACTCAGCAGCTAAAGGGAGTAAGGAATGGAGGCGGTAAAAACACAAATGAACCATATGGTTTTACCACCCCTAAACTTTACATGTGAATGAGCCTTAAGGGTGCTGCTGCCAAATGCAACTAAGGGCTCATTCACAAGTGCAGCAGGCACTGCTGCTCCTCTGAAAAGCGACCCGAGTGTGTTTGACAGGTGGTGAGGAGGTGAAAAGTTGCCTCCTCACCACCTGATTTTAACTCATGGTTGTCATGCAGCGCACGTGATGGCGAAATGGTAGTACAGCAATTAGATTTTAAAACAGGTGTGAGGAGGCGACACTGCGTCCGGTGATCTTCTCCCACGTTGTTCAGGTAGATCTCCACCACTTTAAGGGTGCCTACCCATGTATTAATGGCGCTACCCATCAGCATACTAGAACAGTTGTAAATTCTCTGTGCATTGCCCATAAGAACTGCAAGTATGTTTTTGGATGTGCTGAGGCTTGTTATGGGCCAATTTAAAATGAATGGGCTGCCTTAAAACAACTTGCATTGGCTGACAAGAAAACACGTTTTAACACGCACCAGAGCATGCATAGAGCCTAAGCAAAGACTAAATTAGCCCACCCTTTGTCTCCCCCCCAACCTAAACCAATCTAGAAGTCCCGAAGAAAGATTACCTTGAAGGCAACCTCTGCTTATGCAATCATGTGCTCACTTTGAATTGACAGGTTTATGTCTAATTCCTACTCCCCCACTGTGCTAACAAATGCAATATCTAAGAAAACTAGAGGAAACAAAACAATTTGTAAACAGCATTTATTGTTTATCCTTTTACAAAATTGGGACACATGCATGCCTGGGAGGAATTATTCAAATTGTACTTGTTGCCATGGGGAAATTAAAGACATCATAATATATGTGTTTCACAGAAATCTGTACAGAAGTATATATTGGTGTTAGCTGTGTCCTCTTGGAAAGTGGATATATTTTAAAGATTTAAAATAGAAACCTACAGACAAAACATAGCAATGTTGACCTTAAATTAGGTGACCTCATTGTAAATACTCCAATGGCTGGAGGCCACCATTAGTACAGTTCATCCAGAAGAGAGAACAAGGACGCTGCGCGCATGCGCACTAGGAAGAGGACCTGGCCAAGACTTTTTCCTTGAAAAGGTTGTGTGGCACCAGGCAGGATGATGTAGCAATGATCATCAAGTGTGTTGCACTTTGGATGGTGGGGGTTGTTTAAAGGGTACCTGTCAACAATTTTTGATAGTAAAAAAAATATTTTAAATGCTTCCTTTCCACGAATGATTTTTTTTTATTTCTCACCTCTGAACATGCACGGCCTTCTCCATCCATGGACATGACATTCCTTTCCTTTTTTTGGTAGTATCTACTGTCTGTGCTGGTCCAGCTCCTCCACCCCTCCCCTCACCTCCCCACATAACCTTTTATGTAGCAGCCAGGTGAGAAGCAAAGGTGAACACTATACGGCGTCACTTGAATGACAGTTCTAAGTCTACTGGGACTGTGAACAGCACATTAAAGATGGAGGTGTCCAGCAGCAGTTTCAATATCTACACGAGGGAGACTTTTACAGGCACATAACATGCCTTTATTGTGCTATAGACATGTTTTGTACCTGTAAAAGCCTTCCTTCATTTTTTTCATAATCATATGGGAAGATTGTTGTTGAAATGAATAGTCTGACACAGGGTCTTTTTCAAGGACAACTTCCCTAAAAGTGCAGTTGTTCCTCAGTAGCCACAAAGGACATAAATCTACTTTGTGAGCACCAAATGCCTTTGCAAACCTAAATATTACCTTGGAAAAGTAGCAATGACATCATCATTGTGGTGTGCATAGCCTGTGGAGAGAGCAGAGCTGTGGGAGGGACCCAGAACGTTCCACCCACTACAGGCTGCCTGCAGAAAACTACAGGAGGGGGCGGAGACAGGACCAGTCACCCTGCACAAGGAGAGAGAGCAGTAGTGAGTGGTCTTTATTACAGGAAGCTCCTGCGCAGAGGCAAGTGTACTGATTTATGAAAAGTAAATAGACTGTGCACTTTGCAAGTGCAGTTGCAGTTTGCAAGGGGATTTGCACCAGAGCTTAGTAAATGAGGGGAAGCTCTGCTAATTTCCGACATCCAATCATGTACAAGCAAAAATGTTGGTTTTAATTCTCCTTGCATGAAAATTAGTATTCTTTGCAAAGTAAAGCTTCATGTCATTTAGTAAGCTCTGGAGGAATTTCCCTAGCTGAGTTTTTTTGGTCTTTAGTAAATCAACCCAAAGTTTCACACTGTGATTACTGCACAGAAATGCACAAAACACACCAAGATTCCAGTAAGAATACACAGGACAAATGTATTTAGACAATATTCGCCTATCCTGGAGCTCAGCTTTACGTATGTAAAGATAAAGGCTATTAGCCTATTTGCTAATTGTACTTTCTAGGAGGAATCGTTAAAAAAAAAAGCAATCAAGGAAATAGATACATTATACATATAAAGCTGATTATTTTTCTGCTCTGTAGTACAAAATCACATTTGATAGAAAGATGGAATTGTGTTGTTGCCTGATATAGAAATCAGGAATTGTGTTGCCTTTCTTATGTGACGCAAGTCCAGTCGCCTAGGTCCAAAGCCGTAAATCGCATCTGCAGGATGCACCTCACTGCCCACCTGAACAAGGCATAAGGTAACAAGACCGATAATAAATACGGTATACAAAGCTAATTCATGCGTTTTCTGCTATGTAGAGCAAAATCAGACTTGAAAGAAAGCTGGGAAAAGGTTTTATTTAAAATGTAGTCTTCTTTTGCTGTATATAGTTTGACTGGAGGTAACAAGCATGAAGGTATCCACAGTAACACATAATGAGCTTGTGGCATAACAGCGAGATAGTATATGTAAGATCTCTTCTATTACTATTTGTATTTCAGGCTCACAACCCTCTCTACAAAGGAGCCACTTCGACCTTCACCAATATAACATACCGTGGAAATCCCGAATGAATGCGGCGATTGGACATTTGACAACACGATCTCGGAGAACTGAAATTTGTGACGTCGTTTCTGCTGTTTTGCATCCTCATTATTTTAATAGCACAACACTCTCTGCAAGATGTGAAGCCCCTGTGGCCATCAGAGACTATTTTTGATCTGAAAATGATTTACACACACGACAAAAAAAAAAAACAAATTCAGGGCCTTTAAAGGGTTTCTTATATCTACTGAAGCCTGAACTAAATACTTCCACCCTTTACATCCCAGACTAAGAGGACACAAGGTGGCTACTCAACACGGAGAATACATCAGCCACAAGGATGCTTCAAAAATGGTCAGGAAATCAGAACTTGTGCGGTTGAAGAAGATTCTCAGGAATTCCACTATACTCAGTTCTGATAACTCGCTCCACCCTGCTACACTCAGTAGACCCCTGTAACAGGACTGAGCTTGTGCGGCTACACCCTTGTCACGTACTGCATTTTTAAAAATGTACGATCTGTAGCTTACTAAAGAGCAAGAAGAAAATTTTGAACTTTTCCACACAGCTTTCCAAAGATTTACATGTTCGACATTTCTTGCCATCAATATTTTCTTTTTTTTCTCACATATCTGTGCACTGTGTGCCAAAGTATTTGCCAGGCAATCTGTTTCTAATCTGATCAAAGTGAAACAAAACTTGAAATTTTTATGTTTTTTATATACTAGTAGGAAATGTTTTAAGTCTATGTCAGAACTATTTTTTTCCACCGAAAAAGTGTTATTTACTGATGTTTGAGGAAATTGAAGACGTATTAATAGACTTGCAAAAAAATAACTGAGTACTGTCCATAATACCTTTAGTCTTTACATTTTCAGGAGTACTGCTTGGACCAAAAAGAAGGGAACCCCCCGAAAGCTTGTCCTGAAAATTCAAATGTTAGTGCAAATGAAAAAGTATCGCAGACAGTACTTAGGTGTCTTTGCATCAGTAACAAAAACAACTATGGGGATGAGTAAAGTTAAAAGAAAAAAAACCCTTTTATTGCTTATTCTTTTATTGCTTGTTAAGGATCTCTCTTGTTCGCCTGTATAAATGGCTTATTAAAGCTCAGTAAATAATCCTGTATGTTCTAGCAAGAGAGATATGGCCACGTTGGAGATATAACTTCAATAATTTCCTGTCCTGACAGGAAGATCAGGGAAACCTCCCCAGTAGGTACAAAGACAATAATAAAAACCAGACCCTTGCCTTTCCATAAAAACCGGACCCTTCCCAAAATAAAACGTTGTGACTGGAGTTGGGCTTTAAAGTACAGTACAACATCCAAAAATTATGATTTTTTTTTTTTAACACTGTACCATTGGAATAAGTTACCTCTAATGAAGAGTATGCTAGATGTGGATGGCTGCTGTTTAATGTATAAATGACAGTTTTGTTGTTGCCGGTTATTACAAACAGTGTTCTTCTTCTAGGGCTGCCACTGACAGTTCTGGCCAGTGTACAGTGCAAGCATGGTGTTGGTGTCTTTTCTTTCCCCTTCCTCTTCCTTCATCTATTCACAAAAAGACTTGTATTCTTTACATTGAATACAAGGTCTTCTGTGAATGGAGAAGAGGGAGATCCTGATGTTTCCCTGCCTTCCGTCTCCCCTCATCCATAACAAAGCAAGCTCCATAACTACATGGCCTTTATTTACTAAAGCTGGAGAGTGCAAAATCAGGCTCACGTCTTCATTGAAACCAATCAACTTCTAACCTCAGCTTGTTCAATTAAGCTTTGGCAATAAAACCTGGAAGCTGACTGGTTTCTTTGCTGATTTTTTGCACTCTCCAGCTGTAGTAAATAAATCCCATGGTTTGATGAGTTTGGTGTGGAGGAACTCAAGCGACATGTACTGAGTCCTGCCCTCAACTCTAATGAACACCTTTGGATCTGAATGCTGACAGTGAGCCAAGTCTTCACATCTAACATCCATACCTGACCTCCAAAATAGGCACAAATTCAATGCTGATTTTAACCACTTTATAACTGGGCAGTTTAGCCCTTCATGGGCAGAATATTTCTACAAATGCTAAAGTTTAACCACACTTGTTTGGTCTAGTCAGCTAAGCTGAATATCAATATATTTAGTTTAGACTTGTAAAATACACATTTCTATGAAGATAACAGCCAAACGTTAGAGTAAGTATCCTTCATATGCTTTGCTTCCATGCATAAAAATAAGTGGCCTAATTTATTTGTATACAGTGTGTTACAAATGAAGCAAGCAAGCTGCAAGCAAAAATAAAAGTGCCTTAAATACAGTATGGGAATTTACTAAAAACTGGTGCACACAGAATATATTGAAACTGTGCACAGTAGCCAGTCAGCTTCTAACTTCAGCTTGTTTAAGCTTTAGGGCTCTTTCACACGGGACGTACCCATTTAGCAGATCTGCTTGCTCAGCGGGGGATCTCTGCGCTGATCCCCCGCTGACCAAGCAGATGACAGCTTTGTGTCCCCTCTGCTGCAGAGCAGACACAGAGCTGCTCGCTCTCCTTAATGGGCAGTCGGATGAAAACGAACCGCCTGTCCATTTTAATCTGAACCGACGGACGGAAGGGGAATTGGATCCCCATCTGTTCCTTTTTGGCGAATTGTATTGGATGTCGGCGGATGTAAACGGACACATGTCCGTTTACACCCACCGCTCCATAGAGGAGAATGGAAGTTCCGATGGGGTCCTCCTAAAAAACGGGCAGGCGGACCCGATTGGAACGTTCGTGTGAAAGAGCCCTTAACAATAAAACCTGGAAGCTGATTGGTTACCACGCACAGCTGCACCAGATTCTGTGTGCACCAGTTTAAGAAAATTCCCCCCCCCCCCCCCCCCCCCATATGTCTATTTTAGAGATATCAATGTATTTTCCAGAATGCTATTTTCTTTGTGAACACATGGAGTAGGTAAAGTGCCTGGTCACACCGGTGCAATTTCAGGTGTGATTTGCGAACCTGAAATCGCATCGAATGAATGTGAATGTCAGGGTTATAACATGAGCGATTTGCTGCAGCGTGATTTCTACAGTAGTTCTTGTATTACTTTTTATGTAGTTTTATTGCGATTTCACATACATAGAATATAATGGAAATCACACTGAAAATTGCAAGAAATCGTTGAAAATCGTCACAAGTAGCAATAAAGTCTTCCAACCTGAAATCGCATCGAATGAATGTGAATGTCAGTGTTATAACATGAGCGATTTGCTGCAGCGCGATTTCTAAAGTAGTTATTGCATTACTTTTTCTGTAGTTTTATTGCGATTTCACATACATAGAATATAATGGAAATCGCATAAAATTGCAAGAAATCTTTGAAAATCGTCACAAGTACAATAAAGTCTTCCAAAACCGCACCTGAAATTGCACACAAATCGTGTGATTTTAAATCGCATCAGTGTGACCAGGGTGAAAGTCACAAAAAAAAAAAATCGGAATCTGCATTTCATACGTCCATAATAAAAGTTTCATCTACTGAGCTAACAGGCTAGACATGGGAACATAACCTAAACCCCTAAACCAGCCGCCTTTTTGTATGAGGGTGACAGATCCACTTAAAATAACTTACTGCCTGTACAGGAGAGACACCAGCCTGCATGTGATTATTTCAGCAAGCAGATTGGTGTGAATGAGTCCTTATGTTGTAAACAAAGCACCTAGAAAACAACTGTTTGCTATGTATTCTTGTGCTGAGCATGTATTGATCTATGCAGGTCAGCACAGCTTAATGGATAAGGAGTGAATGAGCCCTTAAAAAGTGTGATGTGTGGGTAATAAAAGCCTAGGATGAGCCTATGTGAAAGCACTGTACTTTACTGTAAGGAGATACCTCTCTAGACAATCTTCACGAATGGCACTGTACATATATTTCTGTAGTGTAAGAAATTGTGAATTTCTCAGTTGTATGTTTGTCCATGTAAATTTTGTCTTGATTATACTGCCCCTCGGTGGACAGCTAGTAAAACTGCAGATGTGTTCCAATTTTCTACTCGCCCCACCATCTAACATGCATGGAAAGTGTACAAGCTGCTCCTGAAAATGTATGCGCTATTTTAAACCAGAAACATGTATACCTTTATATATGAAAAGTAATGTGGTCACAAACCTTCAAAAGAACTTCATGGCAGAATTCATAAAGGGCAAAAAAGTTTTAATAGATATGATTAGGAGACTCACATTATACGACATTTAGTGGTCAGTTTACAGAAAAAAAAAAAAGGATCTGAAGGCTCAGTGCAGCCAATAAGATTTTGTCATTTTTGCTAGAAAAGACGGTAAAGGAAGCTGATTGGATGCCTTGGTGTAAACAGTGTCAGCTTCAGCGTAAGGCTTCTTAGACAGCTTGCTTAGGGCGCCAGTATGGGGGAGCAAAAAGATTTGAATCCCCAGCCACTTGCAAAATGTACCTTTGCACTGGCCCTGGGTGTAAAACAGACACTATAAAGTAACCTCAGGGATCTCATGCTTCAGAAATGAATAATCAATCCTTCTAAAGATAATCCCTAAAGAGTTTGGAGGATACTTCTTAGAAATTCATCTCATTGTGGTGCATTAAATGGCAGCAGATTTATGTTCATGTCAGCAGGGCTGCTGTTAGAAACCACAGCGCCCCATACAGCCAACCTGACAGGCCCTCCCTCCCCTAAAAAAAAAAAAAAAAATAGAGAACGATGCTTCAGTAATAAATGAATACAGTGAGTAATCGGTACCAATGACTTATTGTGTTCATTCAGGAAAGAAAGGGGCTGGTAAATGTGACATGTTTACTGGACCCATCCCCCACTCTCCAGTCTGAAGGATCCTATTGTGTGCTTGCAGCTGCCAGTGGGAAGCAGAGGAGGGATGCTGGCAGCAGGGGGTGGAGGCACACAGGGGGGACTGGGCAGTAGAGGGAAATGTATGGTGCACTGAGATGGTGATGGGTGCAGCGGCGGGGGGGAGCAATTACTGGAACTGATCCCCTGTATGATTATCTCTGCAGCAGCTGACA